AGCTGGAACTACAGGTGCGCACTACCACGCCCGGCTGATTTTTTTGATTTATTGTAGAGATGAGATCTCGCCAAGTTGCCCAGCCGGCTCTTGAATCCGCGGGCTCAGGCAATCCACTCACCTCAGCCTCCCAAAGGCGCGGGATTACAGGCTGAGCCACCGAGCCCGGCCAGCTAATTTTTTGATTTGTTGTAGAGAAGAGGTCTTGCCCAAGTTGCCTAGGCTGGTCTCAAATCGCTAGACTCAGGCAATCCTCTTGCCTTGGCCTCCCAAAGTACTGGGATTACAGGCATGAGCCACTGCACCTGGCCTATATCTGTCTTTTTAAATTTAAATTTTTAAGATAATTATTGATTAGTATGCAGTTCTTAAAAATAATACAGAGAGATTCCTTGTGCTTTTTACCTGGTCTCCCTCGATGAGAACTGTCATTTTGTCTCACAACCAGGATAGTAACATTGATATAGTCAAGATACAGAACATTTTCATTGCCACAAATTTCCCTCGTGTCACCTTTTTATAGCCAAACTCACTTGTCTCCTCCTCTCACCTCCTTAACCCCAGGCAGCCACTAACTTGTTTTCTATCTTAATACTTTGTCATTTCAAGAATGTTAGATAAATGAAATAATAACCAGGTGTGGTGTCTCATGCCTGTAATCCAAGCACTTTGGGAGACAAAAGTGAGAGAATTGCCGGAGCCCAGGAGTTCGAGACCAGCCTGGGCAACTTGGTGAAATCTCATCTCTACACTAAATTTAAAAATTAGCTGGGCATGTCAGCATGTGACTGTAGTTCCACCTACTTGGAAGGCTGAGGCAGAAGGATAGCCTGAGCCCAGCAGGACGAGGTTTGTGGTAGCAGTGAGTATGCCACTGCACTCCAGCCTGGGTGACAGAGTGAGATTCAATAAATGAATGAATGAATGAGTGAAATAATATACTATGAAAATCATTTTGGATTGGCTTTTTTCCCCCACACTTGGCATAATTTTCTGGAAATTTTGTTGCATGTGTCAGTAGTTTGTTCCTTTTTAACTGTTAAGTAGTATTTCATGGCATGACCATAACATAGTTTGTTGGACCACTCGTCTGTTGAAGGACATCTGGGTTGTTTCCAGGTTTGTCTATTGCAGATAAAGCTACTATAAACATTCATGTACAGGTTTTATGTAAACATTTTTATTGCTCTGGGATAAATACTCATGAATCCTAAATGCTGTATCTTATGGCAGTTGTGTATTTCACTTTTAAAGAAACTGCCCAACTGTTATCATCCACAGTGACCATGATGTTTTTCAGACTCAACGGTAATTTATGAGTGCGCCAGTTTCTCTGCATCCTCACCAACGTCTGGTGTTGTCCTTATTTTTTATTTTAGTGATCCTGACAGGTATGTAGTGCTATCTCATTGTGAGTTTTATTTCTATGGTAGGTAATGAGGCTGAACAACTTGTCAGATGATTATTTTCAATATGTACGTCCTCTTCAGTGAAATATCTTTTCCTCATTTTCTAATTGGGTTGTTTGGGTTTTTTTTTTTAACTGTTCAGTTATTTTAAATTGACATAGAATTAATATACCACACAATTCACCCTTTTAAAGGGTACAATTCAGTGATTTTTGATGTATTCGCAAGTTGTGCAACCATCGCCACTATCTATTTCTAGAACATTTTCAGCACTCAAAAAAGAAACTCCATACTCATTAGCTCTACATGGATCTCCTCCCCCATCCCCTGGCAACCACTAACCTACTTTCCATCTCTATGGATTTGCCTAATCTGGACTTTTCATATAAATGGAATTATACAATATATGGCCTTTGTGTCTGACATCTTTCATTTAGTATAATGTTTTCAAAGGACATTCATGTTGTAGCATGAATCAGAACTTATCTCCTTTATTGACTGAATGACATACCACTGTATGAATCTACTACATTTTTGTGTCCGTTCATCAGTTGATGAACCTTTGGGCTCTTTTACTTGTGGCTATTGTGAATAATGCTGTTATGAGCAGTCATGTACAAGTTTGGGTGTGGATATATGTTGTTCTTTTCCACCTAGGAGTAGAATTTCTGGGTCACATAGTAACTCTATGCTTACCTTGAGGAACCGCCAAATGGTTTTCCAAGGCAGCTGCATTATTTTATATTCCCACCAGCAACGTATGAAGGTTTCACTTCTCTATCTTGTTGCCAACATTTGTTATTGTCTGTCTTTTTTATTATAGCCATCTCAGTGTGTGTGAAGTGGAATCTCATGATAATTTTTATTTGCATTTTCTGAATTATTGATGATGATGGGCACCTCTTTATATACTTAGTAGCCATTTGTATCTCTTCTTTAGAAATGCCTATTCAAATTGTTTGCCCATTTAAAAATTATTTGTGTTTTTATTGTTGAGCTTTCATGGTTCTTTAGATAGCCATATTTAAATCATATATCTACCAGATGTTTTTACACATATCAGCACAAAATATTTTTCCTATTCTTTATTTTGTCTTTTCACTTTTTTGATAGTGTCCTTTGAAGTACAAAAGCTTTATATTTTGCTGAAGTGCAATTTATTTTCTCCATTTGTTTTTGTGCGTTAGTTCTAATAGCTAAAAACCATTGCCAAGGTCACACGAAAAAAATTACATCTATGTTTTCTACTAAGAGTTTCATAGCTTTAACTCTTACATGTAGGTCCTTGATCTGTTTTGAGTTAATTTTTATGTATGATATGAGGTAAGAGTCTAAATTCATTATTTTGCATGTGGATATATCTAGATGTCTCAGCACCATTTGTTGAGAAGACCATTCTTTTCCCCATAGAATTGTCTTGGTGTCCTTTTTGAAAAGCAGTTATCCGAAGATGCATGGGTTTATTTCTGGAATCTCATTTCTATTCCATTCATCTATCTTATGACAGTACCCAGAAGTCTAGGTATTTATTTTTATTTTAGAGTTGTTGGGTACATGTGAAGATTTGCTACATAAGTAAATTGCATGCAGGTGAGGTCTGGGCTTCTAACGAGCCCTCTCTCCCCCAGTAGTAGACATGGTACTCAATGCGTGGTTGTGTGCCCTCTATCCTCCTTCCTCCCTCCCTCGTTTAGCAGTGCCCAGTGTTTGTTGTTCCCACCTTTGTTCTCATGTGCCCAGTGTTTAGGGCCACGACGTCTTAATTACTGTCACTCTGTAGTAATTTTGAAATCAGACAAAACTTTGCTCCTCTTTGTTTCCAACTTTGTTCCTCTTTTTCAAGATTCTTTTGGCTATTCTGGGTCCCTTTCATTTTCGTGTGAATTTTAGGATCAGCTTGTCTATTTCTGCAACAACAACAACAAAAAATGGCAGCTGAAATTTTGATAAGATTGCATTGACTCTATAGATCAATTTGGTCGTATTGCCATATTAAAAAATTAAGTCTTCTCATCCATTAATGTGGGATTTTTAATATTTATTTTGGTCTTCAATGCCTTTTCATGCTGTTTTGTCGTTTTCAGTGTATAAATCTTTACTGCTTTTGTCATATTTATTCTATGTATTTTATCCTTTTTGATATTATTATAAATGGAATTGTTTTCTTAGTTTCATTGTATATTGCTAGTGTATAATGATTTTTGTACATTTGTCTTAAATCTTGAGGTCCTGCTGAATTCACTAATTTTGTGTGGGGTGTGTGTATATGTTCCTTGGAATTTTCTAGATTCTAGATTCGACATATTATCTCCAAATAGAGATAGTTTTACTTCATCCTTTTTAGTTTGTAGTTTTTATCTTTCATTTATTTTTCTTGCTTAATTGTCCTGTAAACTTATCTCCAGTAAGATGTTGTTAAAAAAGCAAACATCCTTGTCTTTTTCCTAATCTTAGGGGAAAAGATTTTAGCCTTTAACCATTAAGTATAGTGTTATCTTTCTTTCTATGCCTTTTAAAACTTGTTTAGATTACTTTTATTGTTTGATTATACATGGTTATAGAAAATTCAAGCAATATGATAAGATATTTTTTAAAAACTCACCCAAATTCCACTACCTTCAATATACTCCAAAGTTTTTCCTATGCCTTATATATGTATATGGAAAATATAGATAACCTTATGTAAAAATGACCTACTCTGTGACCAGAGTTTTTTTTTCTCCATTCAATATTGTTTCATGGCCCTCTTCCCATGCCTGTGACCAAAAATTCTATCATTTTACAGCTTTCCACTTTCTGTTTTAAGATTGAACTATCATTTATTTGGTCACCTTCCTCTTGATGAATGTATGTTTCCCTTTCCCTCCACTGTTATAAACAAGACTGTGATGAACAGTCTCATTCTATTCTTCCCAACACTGTGTATTTTCAGACCTTTCTATGTTTTGGTCTGTTTGTTTCATCTTTGTCAGCTGATGACTACAGATTTGGGGCAGGGAACTAATGCAATCAGAATGGGGCTTTAGAAAGCTAACTCTGGCATTCCCAACTTACTGTGTGATCTTGGACAAATCCTATTCCTTCTCTGGGCCTCCATTTCTTCATTCATAAATTGAAGACCTTAGTCTAAATTACTGGTTATCAAACTTGGCTGCATTAGGAATCACCTGGGGAGTTTTAAAAAAACACAGCCAGCAGAATTCATCCCCAGAGATTCTGACTTAATTAATGTGGGGTATAGCCCAGGCAGCAGGATTTTTTAAATGTCCTTGGGATTACATGACTTGAAGTTCTCCTTCCTATGCTCTTCTGTAGTGGAGCTCTTACCCATACACCTGCTCTGAGAGAGACTGCTGTGGAGCAGTGAAAAGATCTGTTCTTGGTGACCAGCAGACCTGAGTTTGAATCCCAGCTTATTTGCTCCTGGCTGTGTGACCCTTCATCTTCTCTAACCTTTCATTTCTACCCTCTTCTTGGGAGGGAGGCTAAAATCCTTCCCCACTACTCAGAGTTTCTGCATGTAGAGGTGGTTTAGCAACTGCACACATGGACTGAGTGGTGAGGATTTTTTTTTTTTTTCCTTTACCAAAGAGCCAGCCCCTGGGCAACAAAGTGGAAATGGAGATCGTGAGCATGCTGGAAAAAAACACAACGCTTCTCAAATTCGGCTACCACTTTACCCAGCAGGGCCCCCGGCTTCGGGCATCCAACGCAATGATGAACAACAATGACCTTGGTGAGTGAAAATGTGCTTCCTGCCCTGCCCACCTGCCTGTCATTCCCCCTTACCTGTGCTGAGGATGTCAGGGAAAAATCCCACTGGCACCTCTCCAAGTCTTCTTGAGCCTAACTCCTGATTTTCACATCGATCGCATCTTCCTTGTTTTCTGAGATTGTGCCTTGTCTCCTTCCTGGACTGTGAGCTCCCCTACATCAGGAGCTAAGGCTAAGTTCT